ATACCTTCAAGGTACTAAAGACTTAGGACTGTTTTACACTAACCACAACAAGGATGGACTAGTTGGTTTTGCTGATGCAGGATATCTATCGTATCCGCACTGTGGTAAGTCACAGACTGGTTATGTTTTCACGCATGGAGGAACAGCTATCTCGTGGAGATCTATGAAGCAGACAATCGCTGCAACCTCATCAAACCATGTAGAACTTTTGGCCATTCACGAAGCCAGTAGAGAATGTGTTTGGCTACGATCCATGACTCAGCACATCCGGTCAGATTGTGGTATGGACGAAGACAAGGAGCCTACGGTGTTGTATGAAGACAATGCGGCATGTATCGCTCAACTCAAGGAAGGTTATATCAAAGGAGGTCGGACGAAACACATCCTACCGAAATTCTTCTCAACCTCGGATTGGCAGAAGGATGGTACGATCAGCGTTCAACAGGTCCGATCAAGCGAGAACTCCGCCGACCTTTTCACCAAATCATTGCTCGCTTCAACACTCCGGAAGCTCATCCAACAAATAGGAATGCGTAGACTTAGAGATCTACGGTGATGCTCTAATCAGGGGGAGTAATGCGTGTTGTACTCTTTTTCTTTCACCATGGTTTTTTCCATTGGGTTTTCCTGGTAAGGTTTTAATGAGGCAACATTCCCCAGCGCATTATCGAGATCTCGATTGACCATCAGGTCCGGCGACTCCGTCCAAGGGGGAGTGTTATAAATATAATACATCATATTGGACTTATAACCGGGCCCAATAAGCCTATCAGGGTTATTCATTATGTATTCTAAAACCCTAGATTTATATGCCTATATATATGTATCATTATTCATGGAATGAGAATATATAACCATAAGTTCTACAACAAAAACTATACAAATTTTCTCTATTACTAAAAATGAAAAATATATCTATTTTTTTTTTTTGTATTTTGCATACGTTATAGTTTGATGTGTGATTGATTATAAGTAAAAAACGTGTTGTTATACTAAACAATATTATTTGTACCTCCAACATTTTATTCTTCTACTAAAATGCTCTATCGAACTGTTTGTTTAATAGAATAGAATATCATCTTATGTATTTAAATAACATGCTATTCTATGCTTGTTTAATAGGCGCAACACATTCTCACTTGAAGATATATATTCATTTTTCGTTTCTAAGAACTCAAAATGTTAAAACGTATATTATCCAAGTATCCAACGAAAATGTTAAATGTGTATACATTTCAAAAATAATAATAAAATCATAGGATAAAATATCCTATACTATTATTTGGGAAATACATTTATAAGTTGTAATATTAACTTTTGTAAGAAATTACAATATATGGCATTACAAATCTCTAATCATAACCATATTTATTTCACGTCACTCACATTAACCAATTCATTATAAAACGGATCAATAGATCATACGGATTTAAAGATATTAAAGAGATTACCTAATATATAGGATGCCAATCACGCATATAACAAACATTTGTTATCAATTTGTCATTATTTGGTTATATTCAGTTTCCTTAAAAAGATTTATAAAGATTGTCAAATATCTCTGTTATATATGTTGTGATTCAATATTCCAAGTAATCTAAAATATACTTTCTCCAAAATATTATCTAACGAATTTAAGCTAACTAATATATTTGTGAATCTCCTAATTATCAAAAACGATCTACGACTATAAATAAGCATATTAGGTTTGCGATACAGTTCCTTTTCCATGTTCATATTTGTTCTACTAACTATCCATTTTTTAATTTTACGTCGTGGATTGTAAGAAAATGACAAAATGATGTTTAATTTCAAAGGACATGGTTATATGGTCAAACGGGTTTGTATCGATGTTAATATGCGATAGTATACTACGGGTGAAATCCTAAAATTACCAATCCAAATACAATTGTACAATCTTAAACAAAACTAAACAAACAATATTAACCAGTGTTCAAGAAAGCGCTAGGCGCTAAGCGGGCGGTGACCCAGTGCCTAGCGCCTAGAACGCTTAATCGGGGCCTAGGCGATTTTTTAGGCGGTTTAGACGTTTATAACATAAAATATTATAAATATGATATTATATATAAAAGTTATATAAAATGTCTATATAAAACTAAAAATTATGAAATTATAAACAAAACTAGATAAAACATTTATTTATATTTATATTAAACAATATATAAATATGTATAACTATATATATAAATAAAACTCTAATTAAAATTGAAAAAAATACATTAAACAAGATCTATGTAACTTTAGGCGGTCAAGACGGTTATCTAGGCGTCGCATGAGAGCCTAGCGCCTAGTCGGGGCCTAGGCGACCGCCTAGACCGCTTTTTAGAACACTGATATTAACAAAACAAATACATCTTAAAATTTCAATTTCTTAGTTATAAAATATCGTCATGCTGTGTACCATACATTTTTTTTTTGTCAACAGAATTATATTAATCTAACTTGTGATTACAACAAACAAACAAAGTTGGAGACTCTTTGCCAAAGAGAAGCCTTGTCCAATGCTTGAAAATGAGATAAATTGAAAAACAAAGCTTGAAAACGAAACGATAGAAGGTTAGATCCGTGGAAAATAACCGGAAACTCCATTGCGGGGGCTTCAAGAATGATCGGTTTGAAGTCGATCGTCAACACTCGGTCTTGTAAGATATCCGAGGATGATGCTGGTTCTTTTGCCAAAAGAGGCGAGTGAACAACTTGAGCTCTAAATGCCATCAAGGCTGAGCTTTTAGACACATTCTCCATATCGGAGAGGATAGATGAAATGGGTCTCTTCTCGAAAGAGAAGGAAGAAGGACATGATTTCTCCAAGAAGGAAGAAATATGTGAAAATGATCTCTCCATAGCGGAGCAAGGTCTCTCCATAACGGAGGAAGGTCTCTCCATAGCGGAGGAAGGTACACCGGTAGAAACACCGGGAAGGGTTCCAAAGGAAGCCTTGGTGAGGCAAACAACCAAATTGGAGTCAATTGGGCTGAGAAACAGGCCAACAAATAAGACTGAGCTCACTAGGCCCACTAAACTGGAGGAAAGCGATGGGCCCATCTCCATTGTCTTGGAATCACGTTTAGCTGAACGGTGGAGGAGAACGTCGCCGGATACACATGGCTGACCGGCGGGACAAACTATGGTAGAGGAGGAGGGAGAACAACTGATCTCCGGAGGTGAAAGGAAACTTGCGGACGACAGAGGAGAAAGGAGAGAGATGCAAGGAAACAAAGAGGTGGACGGAGATTGCGATGAATCCGGCGGATCCGGTGGATCTGGCGGGTGGAGAGGGTTTGGTGGCTCCGGCATAATCCACAATCGGAGGTTAAGGAGAGGCTTGAGCAAATTTTCCTGAGATATCGCAGTGGAAGGATGAAACCAGAGAGCAGAATTCGAAAACGTGCAACACGCCATGGAGCGATGAGTTGAACAGAGCGATATCAGAGGAGGCATGAAAGATCTCGCCGGCGGAGCAGATTAACCGGCGGAAGTTGAAACGGTTCTTCGGAAATCCTTGGACGGACCCGAGAAAGTCGAGAGAAGATTCGCACAGGCGAAGAAGCAAACGGAGGACACTCGCCGGTGGAAGCAGAACATCTTGGCTTGGAAGAGCGGCTACCTCGGGCGTCGGGCCTGGGAGAGAATGCGGTGTACCACACATTTAAATCAAACAAAACAATAGCATATATATTTGTAAATCATCCTAAAAAAAATAAAAAAATTTTTTATAATAAAAATGTAGATTCGCGGTGTACCGCGGATTAATATCTAGTTACAATTACATTTGAGCAACAAAAAAAAATTACAATTGCATTATCTTTCAAAAAATTTAAATAGTCTGAAAATAACGGCCCAGTCAATTAGTGTACGTTATACAAACGGGAATCACGGAAAACAAGAGCTTCTTACATCATAATTACTAGTCATATCCCAAAAAAAATATATACTATTGTTTGTTACATATCAATATCATCTCCGGACATAAAAAAAAAAGAAAATTATCTCCTAAACTGTGAGCGGTCTCGTCGGTAGATTAAGGGTAGGCATGACCAAAAGCTAACCGTAACCGTATTTCGGACCTTAACCGGACCGTTTCTCAACCGTAACCAAACCGTAACCGTATAAAATGGTTAAAAACCGTAACCGTTAACCGTAAAAATAGATTAGTTGCGGTTAAAAAATATACTAACCGTAACCGTTAATTAACCGTAAACATATCAAAACCGTTAGTTAACCGTACGGTTAACCGTGCGGTTAACCGCATAGTTAACCGTGCAGTTAAAACCTAAAATACATAATTATTTAACTAAAACAGTACCTTAAATGGTTCAGTGCGCCCACTACTAAATTTAAACCACTCCACTCGTCCACTACTCATTTTCTACAAATTAAATCATAAATAATTTACAAGTTATTATTTCTACTCATGTAATCGTTTCTTAATTCTCATAACATCCTTTCTATAGTATTGTTTGGATAACGTATTGTCAATAAAACAATAACTCAATTATTATAATTATTACTATTAATTTAGTTATTCGTTAATTTACTTAATAGAACAAAATAACTAATTAACTATAAATATTAAAGTATATAATCACATATATTATATATTGTAAAATAAATATTATTTGATATATCATCATTAAATTTTTTATTCTAAAGGTTAAAAATACCTAAGCTTTTGTCTTTGATATTAAGCGTATCATAATAATTAAATAACCGTAACCGTATTTAACCGTAACCGTTGTAACCGTAACCGTATTTAACCGTAACCGTTTTAACCGATATATAACGGTTAAGGTTACGGTTAGAGAAATTTTATAACCGTAACCGGAGGTTAATAAACCGTAACTGCAATAACCGTAACCGTGGTCATACCTAATTAAGGGAATGTCAATTGTTTTGAGTTTTGGTGACAGATAAGACGGTGAGAGATTTATTTATTTATCAAGTTTTAGTTCCCTAAATTATAGTTTTTTTTTTTTTTTGAGAAATAATAGGATCTTTTATCTTCAATTTGCATTTACTCAAAGTTGCAGAACCGACCATTAAATGCGTCATATAGTTCGAGAAAGTGAGAAAACAAGTGTATATACAGTAGAAGAAACACGTTAGAGAACCATGAAATCTTCTGTTGTGTTGTCCAAATCTCAACACGTGTCCCTCTGTTTCTCTTGTTTTCGGAGAAGTTTTGCAACTTCTTTTGATGTTTCTCGTCCGATACCATCTTTGGTTAACCTCGACCGTTTTGATCGCCTAATCAGGTTTGAGTCTACATTTTCTGGAACTTGCATGCTCGTTACTCTAATTGTACTTTAATTGATGAATTTGCATGTGTTTTAACTTTTAAAAAATTCTTAGTTCATTGTTATGATGAGTCAATCCTCACTGGTTTAGTCTAATGATTGTGATCAAGATAGCTTTTACCGGAAATGTAGCAGATTCTAATGAGAAACTTGGAAATGTTTTGGTTTATGGCTTCTCTAAAAAATGTTTGTATATACAACTGAAATTATGGGTATGTTAATAATTTAAGCAGTGGATGGAAGAAGGCACAAGAGTGGATGGGAAGATGAGTTGGATTTGGAGGAAAGGAGTTAGTGTGGGAAAGAAGGTTCTTGCAGCATGTTTTCTAGTGTTTTCTGCACCGTTCCTCGTTCCAGCACTCGTAGTTGCCTCTACAATCGCGTTGATTTCGTCACTTCCTTATTGTTTTTTCTTGGCGAGCTATGTTTGTACGGAGAAGTTGATGAGAAAGCTGCTTCCTGCTAATGCGTTTAGTGGAAGAAGTGATCATAAAATGATGCTACTCCCCAACAAGATCGGTGACGGTGATATATATGATGAAGGCATATCACGAGTGTCTATAAGTGAGCCGATTCTTGTTCATATTGAGGAAGAGAGGACTATTGCAATAGCTTATAGGGAAGATGAGGATATGACAAAAGAGTTAAAGAGCTGGTTAGAGAGTATTACAGATGAGGGTAAAAATAATCAATCACTTGATAGAGGAGTCTTGGAAAAAGGTTTTGAAGAGGAGGATAAAGATCAGTCAATAGTTCGTGGAGATGCCAAGTCAGAGAATGTTAGACCACGACTTGAAGATCTGTTAGGAAAGAAGCAAGTGTCTGGGACTAGACATAAAGGTGTTTATATACATGAGTGAAGGTTTTATTAATGTTGAATTGCTTGAAACTAGCTTATGAGTCTTCAATCTCTTTCTTTCTTTCTTTTTTGGCAGGGGAACTTGAGTCTACTTCAACTACAGCAGCTAGAGGGAAGGATATGGAAAATTCTTCAACTCCGGTTAGTATATTTTCCTTTCGTCCTATGGTTTCATTGTTGAATGACAACTTAGCATCACATCCATTTCACGGGTGAACTGAATGGAATCAGATTGTGCTTCCATGAATCATTCTAGTTTCCATGTACTTGTTGTCTGTTACTCAAGTGATTTTCGGGCCGTTTGTGTTGAACTTGTCATGTTATGTGGATTCCCTTTGTTTCGATTTACATGCTGCTTCCCATGCCCATATGTTAGCGAGTAACCTTATGGCCAGTTACAAGTTTGTACCTTCTTGTATATTAATGTCTACAGATCTTTACTAGGATATTGTAAGGGGTCTTTATGGGTCAATCCTCTCCTGAGAAGCTTTTTGTTTAGTTTGATGATGTTATGATTTCAAGTAAACCAAATATACGGTTGTTTATTTCGCTCTCTTGCTATAGTCTTTTGAGGGTTGATTGGAAATTATTATGTGTTGCTCGAGGCCAGTGGTTGTTAGAGTGTGCACACTATATATATAAGTGGGTAAAATTCACAGTCAAAGGCTAGGTTGAGAACCAGAATGGATGGTTTTATGTCTCTTACCGGTTCTTCCTCCCGAGTTGAGAGTTGAGACCCATCATTCAGATAGAAGGGGGTAAACTAATGAGTTCAGATGGTAGGATCACGTGGCCTAGAAGGTAGAGAGCTTAGACGAAATGATATCAGTATTGATGAGGTCTTTAAAGGAGAACAACATAGGGTAAGGATTTTGGTAGGTGGTTAATGAAATGAGACCTTCCCTAACCACTCTAATGTCTTGACGAACGAATCAATCGTTATAGAAAGATGTGAATGTGTCACGTGGAACCGGTGAAGACAAACATAAAGTTGTTTGTTTACATATCAATATAATTATAAGAATAGAAAGGACAGATTTTCATAATTCAGTCACTTAAAAAGGGTGTTTTGGTAGGCTGTCTTAGCTAGACAAGAATCTGACACACGTCTTAATGTCCAGGTAACCGGGTTTACTCACCATCTTTAATGTCATGTTTTGGTTCATAGAAAGCGTAAAATCATTTTTTACATATCAACATGATTTTAAGAATAGAAACGACAAATTTTCATTCATCCCGTGTTTAGGTAGGGTGTCAGTTCTATAGGAATCTACTCGTATCGATATGTGTTGCATGTTTTGAACAGAGTTTTATTAGAGTCCTTGGCATCCATGTAATAGCTGAGCTTCTTGAACTCATATATCTGTCTCTCATGATGAATCGATATGTTTTTCACTTTGATTTGCATCTCTAGTTCCAATGAATAGCTCAAAGAACTGTTCAATTTAACTGTGTCAAAGTTGAATCATAAGTACTTTGTGGGCTTGTGGTAATGCCATAAGTACCATAAGTTCAAGAAGCTTGTGGATATATTTAACTAACTCTTATTGTAATCGTATATATGCAATATGTTCTGTTGTACAATGAGCTTGTCTTGTTCTTTCTTCTTTTCTTGCCCAACATGTCAATTGTGATCATGCATTGAATTGTTTGATTCCAAATCCCTCTCAAAGGGGATTTTCTTGTTTGGCTACTTAAATTGTGATTTTTTGGATTGAAGGTGAAGGTGTTGTATAGCGAGGAGCAGATATGGACAACGATTGAGGCATTAAGGAAGGTAGTTGGATACAATGTTGCAAGGAGCATGACATATTCAGAAGAACTGAAGGCGCTTTACATGTTTACGGGTGTGGAATTGCCGACATCGATGTTGGAGAATGAGAATCATGATATTGCAAACGTCAGTGAGGGGCTTTCCTTTCTAATGTCTGTTATTGGAATAAAATAAGGTTTTTGATAGTATTGTTGTATAGCTTTAAACACTCGTCTTTTGATAATGCACAATGATAAATAGAAAATGTGCTCAAATAACACTTAAAAGTGAGTTTATTACTGAGATAACACCCATCGAAGAGGGTCTTACTCAAATAACACTTAAAAGTTGCCAAAAATCTTTTAAGCCTCTCTAACTATTTTATTTACATGTTTGCCATTTAGAATTAAAAAAGGAACCGTTAAACGAGAGTAATTAACAAGAGTGAGAAAGTGGAAAAGAGTGTTTGTGTTTGGGTGTGTGTCGAGAACAACGGTCGGACGATAGGTAGAAATTCCGGTAAGATATCCGTTTGTGTTTCAATTAATTAGTTTGAGTTGTTCTGCTATTATTTTAGCAAAAGTATCAAACTCTGCTATGATTTTAAAGTAGAAATCATATTTTTTTTACAGACGGATCTGTGTAGAATTTGCGACGGCGAGGTTACTGCGAAGAAACGGCGACGATTGACGGCGAATGTGGTAAGAATCTCTTAGTAAAACCTTCTATTAAGCTTTGAGGGATTTGAAAAAGCTAGCTGTTGGAATAATTTGAAACCTAATCGTTGTGTTTGTGATTTATGTTCCGATGGGATAAAGAGGTGGGTTGATTAGTTGATCAAGCGAGTGAAGAAATGGGAGAAGAAGGTAACAAATATATTTGAATTTGGCGGGATTGATTATAGAATAATAGAAATATATGATAGAGTTTCTTTGTAAGTGTATGTAGTAGAGTTACAAAAGAGAGACATAATGAAGTTGTACTTTGTGCAGTAATTGCGAAGAAGAGCTACCCCAAAAGACTTTATGCAGCAGGGAAAGCACCAATGAAGGGAAGAAGCATGCATATTAACTGCACCTTGGAGAGTTTAGCAAGATTGAAAGAGAAGATTGGGGAAGATGCTTACTCTCAGATACGTGATCAGTCTAAAGTAGGAGTATTGTTGAAGCTTGCTAACAGTTATTTTGTATGGTGGGCAAAGCTTGTGCATCACCTGTTAACTTATCAATTGGCAATTAGTAGGATATATGAGATTTGGTGTCTCATTGAAGGGAGTCCAATAAGGTTTTCTCTTCACGAATATGAAGACATAACTGGTCTGAATTGTGAGGAAATTAATTTAGAGGACATAGTGGCGGTTGACCACATAGAATTTTGGGGAGAATTAAAGGTGGCTGCAGAGAAGGGGCCAAACTAGAATGAGTTGGAGTCAGCATTAAATAGTTGTAGGAGTTGGAGTTTAGAAAAGAGGAAGATGCTTGGTCTGTTGTTCGTGGTGCATGTAGGTATATTGGGGATATCGAGGTCAACTAGGATACCTTTGGACTATGCCAAGAGGGTGCTTGAAACAGAGGCATTTGAGAGATTTCCATGGGGGCGAGTTGGATTTAAGGAGCTTATTGAGTCAATAAAAGTTTTGAAGTATGATAGAACTCAGTATGCTATCCATGGCTGTCCGCATGTCCTGAATATATGGGCATTTGACAGTATTCCACATCTTGCGAAATCATATGGGAACAAAGTACCGGACGATGGTGATGGCAATGAAGATGAAGATGAACCAGAACCAGTGCCTCTCTTGCAATGGAATGGTGGTCGTCCAAGAATCTGTTTAGATAATTTCTTTGTTACAAAGAAACTGAGAAAGAAGAAGGTATGTTTGTTCTCCTCAACTTTCATTGCCCATATGTAGTTATAACACTAAAATAGCTTATTTATGTCCTCCTCATGTAGATCAAGTTGCAACATTTAGTGGTGAGGCCTATGGCATTTATCCTGTTTGGCCTGGAGAGAATGCTGTGTATGGGGAAGGTGTAGGTGATAATAAGCTGGTGGATAATCTCCTGCATGATATTATTAATGGTGGTTTAAAAGAAAGTGGTTTTGATGGTGATCCGGAGATTGGGAAGAAGATTGGAAAGAGGAAAAAGGAAGTGGACAGTGAGGATGATTTTGTTGACCCACATAAGAAGAGAAAAGTAGAGATATAGAAACGTATAAAGAAGAAATCTAATAGTGGGAAGCAATTAAGAGATGTGAGTGATGATAGTGGGGAACATGTTCTGGAGGAACAAGGAATGGAGAGACTTTTTAAGATGATAGGCAGTTTGTCTAAAGAAATGAAAACATTGAACACCAATTTCGTGGCTGGGCTTGAGAAAGTAGACCAAAAATGCAAAAGGCTGAAGAAGAGTGTGACAGATCTGCAGGGTGATGTGGAGAAGCTGAGGAAGAAGAAAGAAGAAAAGAATGATGACATAGAAGAAGATTCTGCAAATGGTTCAAAAGAAGGGACAAAAACCAACGATGAGGTATGATGTGTACATCCTCTATTTAATTAGGAAGTAGAAATATAATTCAAAAATTTCACAAAGCGCCTGTTTTATGTATGCAGAAAACCGCAAGTTAGTTGCTGGGGAGTCACATTTTTCAAGCTTATGTCTCTTTATTTAATTATGATTCCTGAATCCTGAACTCATTGTTTTTAAAAGTGAACTTGTAAAACATAATTGGGTGGATAATGGAGACTTAAATGTTAGCATTTGTAATGGTCAAGTTTATGTCTCTTTATTTACTTCTGATTTCTGAATCCTGAACTCATTGGTTTTAAAAGTGAACTTGTAAAATATAATTGGGTGGTTAATGGAGACTTAAATGTTAGCAATTGTAATGGTTATGTTTGTTTAATCTCACTATATATTTTTCTAGATTATTGAACTATGTTTATTTAGTCATGGCATAAGCAGGAGAAGCAGAATTCTCAAAAAGGTTTTCCCATTTCCGTAGTCGTCAGGAAGGAGAAGGGAAAGGGAAAAAAGAAGCAGGTTCAAAGAAAACAAGGACAACAGAATGTGTTGACCCAACGAAGATGTCCAAGAAGTTGTTTTTGGAGGAAGTTTCAGGGAGCATGTCACCTTTGGTTAAGGATCCAAAAGGTGGGTTAATGAGTGACTCTGTAATGCATAATCTGAACAGTGAAACGTCATCTCCTACTAAACAATTCAAGCCCTTCTCTGAGGCGAAAATAGCTGATTGGGATAGAAGAGATACATGATCTTCAGCGGGAGTAATGAGTAAGTCTATGTTGCATAATCATAAGACTTCTCCCCTTGGAAGATGCATAAAAAAGGAACCACCATCACCCAAAAACACAAAGTTGACTCCTTTAACTAAGAAGAAAAAACCAGAACCAGATTTGTATTCAGAGTGGTTTGATCCTGAAGAGAAAGAAAAAGATAAGAAGTTAACAGCCGCACTAGACAAGTTGTTAGTCTTGTGTTCTAAAGAAGATTATGTTCCCCGTCCATGTCGGCCTAGACACCTTGCTTCTACCCAGTTGGACCCATACGTTGGGAGTTCAATAGTTAAGCGGATTGTGCGTGGTAAAATTCTTTCTCCTACATCTTATGATCCTTTTGAACCGGTCACTCCTAGAATCATTCATTGACCATGATCTGTAAGTTCCAATCTCATTTATTTACTTTACTTTTGAACTCGTAAACCTTTACTAGGTAAGCTTAACTGTTTTCTTATATGTAGGGATAACCCTATGGATTCCATGAATTCACACTACAAAAAAGACGGCTTCTTACGTCGGCTTTTTAAGCATCTCACGTCGGTACTAAACCGACTTAATTATATTCACGTCGGTTATGAAAATGACGTAACTTTCAATGACGTAAAATTTTTTTACGTCGGATCAAAAACCGACGTCATGTTTAGCGGCAAAAATTTAGCGTCAGTTTTTACAATAGTAACGTCAGTTATGCAACCGACACCATATCCACTATACAATGATTATATACTGCTATTTTTTTTCTATTTTTTTGTAAATAAAATAAATTCAATAAAATAAAATTTTAAATCAACAAGTGAAACATACCAAATTTCAATTAATAAAAGATGTAGCTTATACATAGAAACATCAATATCGTGAAAAATGCATAACACAAAAAAATCAAACAGAAATATAATTAGCCTGAGATCAAGCAGAAAAAACAGTCTTATATATATCATAATCAGCTTAAGAATCAAACATAAAAGCAATCCTAATTTTCAGGAGCAGCTTAAGAATTAATGATAACTTGCCCTATCATTTTGTTCATTGGCTAGATAAAAACATATAGTTAGAACTCTTGTCATTCTATTCATTGCCTAATATGTCTAACAAATCTTACATAAGAAACACAAAATTAACAAAGCCTACCTGCAACCTGTATGAGTCTATATGGCAACTCTTACATCAACCTGCTCAGAAGTTTACCTGCAACCTGTATGAGTCTATATCAACTTTAACTATGTTTAAACCATTTTCAATAATCAATAAATTCAGCAACGCTTAGAGAATCCCACACTAGAAAACAAAATATCAGAGTGTTTGTACCTTGTATCGAGTAGGAGGCCTATGACGAATAATAGTTTATCTACATGAAACTCTGTAAAAGAATGACATAATTACTTTGAGCTTGTACCTTGTATCTCAGAACACTTGTACCTCAGAACACTTGTACCTAAAAAACAATATCTCAGAGCACTTGTACCTTGTACTGGGGCAGGAAGGCTTCATAGAAGTTACACCTAGATGCAAAGGACGAAGAGAATCGCCATGCTACTGTCTTTTGCATGTCATATAGTTTTATTTTGTTATAACAACTTTATGAGAGAGAATCAATTTTGTATTTAGGAATTCTCATCAACTCATAAATGTGATTGTTACAAATATATATATAGTTAGCATCAAGCTAAAGGAGACTTAAGCTAACTAAAATACAAGATTAAATATCCCAATAGACCCCCCTCAAGTCTCTGAAACTGAATCATCCTTGTGAAGGAAGAGACTTGAAATCGACAAGCGATTGAGAAGAGAACGAAAAGGACCTGGATGTAGCGGCTTAGTCAAGATATCTGCTAGCTGATTATCAGTTGTGACATGTAGAACCTTGAGAAAACCACTCTTGATCTGGTCTCTAGTAGTATGACAATCTATTTCAACATGTTTTGTTCTTTCGTGGAAGACGGGGTTGTTGGCAATATGCATAGCTGACTTATTGTCACAAAACAGCTTGGCTTGAGTCTGAACCGGTATACGCATAGCTGTTACTAACTGTTGGACCCAAATGAGTTCATCCGTAGCACGAGCCATTGCACGATACTCTGCTTCAGTACTGCTTTGACTAGCCACTCTCTGTTTCTTGGACTTTGCAATGATCAAAGATGTGCCAAGAAAGACGCATATTCCTGAAACAGACCTTCTAGTATCAGTGCAAGTTCCATAATCAGCATCCGCAAAATCATTAAGACAAATATCTGTAGATGCCGAGTAGAACAAGCCTTGGCCAGGATTGCCTTTCAAGTATTTGAGAATGTTGAAAGCAGCCTGCAGATGCATATCAGTAGCACAAGAGAGGAATTGGCTCAAATGATGAACAGCAAACGTGATATCAGGTCTTGTAATTGTCAGGTATAATAACCTTCCAATGATTTCTCGATACTGCTTGGAATCAGTCAATGGATTACCAGTCTCTGAACTAAGATGTACCTTTGGATCCATAGGGACTGGTCTTGGCTTACAACCAATTAAGCCTGAATCATTCAACAAATCCAAGCAGTATTTACGTTGTGAAACAGAAATACCTGATGAGTTTCTGGCAATCTCCAAGCCTAAGAAAAATTTAACTGGACCTAAGTCCTTTATCTTGAACTCACTAGCCAGAGTTGCTTTCAGATTGTGGACTGCAACATCATCATCACTCGCAATCATGATGTCATCCACATATACCAATAAGGCAATAAAGGAGTTCTCAGTGAACTTGACAAACAATGTGTTGTCTGAATGAGCTTGTATAAATCCATTCTTGAATAAAACTGCAGAGAAACACCTGTACCACTGTCTTGAAGCTTGTTTCAAACCATAAATTGATTTATGCAGTCTGCAAACAGCATTAGGTGGTAGAGAACCAGTAGCAGGTGTATATCCTTGAGGTAAGCTCATGTAGATTTCCTCATCAAGTTCACTGTGAAGAAAGGCATTTGTAACATCCATTTGAGTAAGGCTCCAGTTTTTCTTTGCTGCAAGACCAAGTATGAGCTTCACAGTAGCTAATTTAGCAACAGGAGAAAAAGTTTCAAAGTAATCAACCCCCTCTTGCTGAGTATAGCCTTTTGCAACTAAACGGGCCTTATATCTTTCAATGCTACCATCGGCATTGTATTTAATAGTGTATACCCACTTACATCCAACAACATTCTTGCCAGGAGGCAAAGAAACAACACTCCATGTCTTGTTCAATTCCATAGCCTCAAGTTCCACATCCATAGCTTTAACCCATTTCTCTGATGCTATGGCTTGTTTAAAAGAAGTAGGTTCTGTTTCTAGAGAATATGAAAGAACAATAGACTGGTATGGATTTTTAAGCTGGGAATAAGAAAGGACAGATGATAAAGGATAAGGAGTAGTGAATATTTTGGTGGAACTGGTAGATGGTGTATAGGAAACTTTAGCTAGGGAACAATGATAGTCAGATAAGTAATTGGGTACCTTAGCATTTCGTTTTGGCCTTTCTCTTGGTAGGGAAACCACAGCAGTCTCTGCAGGTATAGTCTCATTGACAATAGGTAGGACACTAGAGTGACTGTGCCGTGTATGAGATGTATGTGATGAATGAGATGCAGATGCAGGACCACCATATACAGTTTCCAATGTTTCAATTTCAACAGGTATAGGTAAAGGCATAATGACTTTGTTAAAAATATCATCAGGAACAGAATTTTGCTCAGTCTGAAATGGGAAAATGTTTTCATGAAAGATAACATTGCGAGAAACAGTAATCAAGTTTGAATCTAAATGTAAAACTTTATAGCCTTTATATCCTGTTGAGTATCCTAGAAATACACATTTATCAGCACGAGGACTAAACTTGTTTCTGTCTTTTAACAATGTGGAGACATAGCATAGACAGCCAAATGCTTTTAAAGGAGAATAATCTGGTTTCTTTTTAGTTAACAATTCATATGGAGACTTATTCTCTAAAATAACAGAAGGCATGCGATTAACTAGAAAAACTGCAGTGTAAACACATTCAGTCCAATAGACAAGGAGAATATTTGACTGAAATAAAAGGGCTCTTGCAACATTCAGTAAGTGTTGGTGTTTACGTTCTACTACTGAGTTCTGTTGAGGGGTATAAGGACATGAAAACTGATGAATCATGCCATGTTCCTTAACAAGTTCAGTAAATGCAAGCTCAGGAGCATTATCAGTTCTAATTCCTTTAATAACAGCATTATACTGAGTCTTAACAAGAGAAATAAAAGCTGGGAAATGTTTTAAAACTTCACTTTTATTCCTCAACATATAAATCCAAGTTACTCTAGTACAATCATCAACTATTGTTAAGAAGTACTTAAAACCTTCAATAGATTCTGTTGAAAAAGGACCCCATACATCAAGATGAACTAATTCAAAGGGATTCATAGCAAAATGATTATTAGACTCAAAAGATAAACGCTTCTGTTTGGCCAGAGGACAAACAGAGCAATGAGAAAGATTATCCAGAGAACTTATAGAAATAGGTAGAGTACCAGACAACTGTAGTAACTTGTCAGCAGATGGATGCCCTAGGCGTTTGTGCCAAAGATCACCATCAACCTTCAAGGATCCAGAGAATGATGACTGTATGGACTGTATTGAATGATGCGAAGTAGGAATATCTAGTTGTAGAATATAGAGATTATGCATAAGAGTGCCTCTACCAATCGTCAATCCCTGAATAAACTCCTGAATGAAACATGAATCAACATAAAAATGAGCTGAACAGTGATTTGATCTTAGTAACTACTAACATATATGAGATTAAACTTGAAAGATGGTACATGTAAAACATCATGCAGAATTAATGATTGTGTAATGGAAACAATGCCAGTGTGTGTATTGCCACTCTAGTATCATTAGGTAAAGAGACATTTACCCCAGAGACTGAAATAGTTTCACTAAAAAGAGACAAGTCAGAACAAACATGGCTTGTGGCACCACTATCAATTATCCAAGAACCATGGGGAAGATTTGAATATAAAGAAGATAAGCATTGGTGTTGGAAAGTAAGTTTTTGGTTTTCAAATCTAAGAGAAGAAGAAGGAAAAGAAATATCACCAGAAGTGGATTGTGCAGCCATAGCACCATGTTCTGTAACAGTAGAAACTGGTGGATTGATTTGGACATTTGATGAATTTGATGAGGATGATGATTGAGTTAAAGACTGTGGGGAAGGGACTGGAGACTCTGAGACTTGAACATGAGCACTAAGCTGTTGAATCAATGACTGTATCTGATCCGGATTCATCTGATTAACATTCAGATTCATAGAAGTAGAAGCCGGGGATGGTATGTAAGGAAACGGTCCACTCATTACATTAGCAATCGTGTGAGGCCTAGGAGTCTGAAACTGTCCTGCAGGTTGCTGAACAGGAGAACTCATCTGCTGAGTAGGTGAATTTTGTTGTGAAAATGGCCTCTGTGATTGATAATAACCAGGTGTGCTCTTGTATCCAGGGATATAACCAGGAGGATAGCCATATTTCTTGAAACATTTCTGAATTACATGTCCTGATTGACCACAGTATGTGCAAACTGGCCGTGGTGCTCGAGGACGATAGCCATTCTGGATAGCAAAAGCAAAGTCAGTAGTATCCTGACCATTATAGAAAGAAGTATCTCCAGTTGATGATGCTGGAGTAGGACCTGAATTGAGAAACACTGCGCTCTCATTCTTAGCAACTGGCTTTATATTTTTCTGTCTTTCATCCTGTGAAACCAAGTTAAATACATCTTCAATTGTTGGTATTGGCTTGAGCATTAGAATATGCCTGCGAGTAGCCTCAAAACTTTCATTCAATCCCATTAAAAACTTGGTAACACGACTCCTCTGTTGCAGTTTTCCCCATAACATTGCAGCATTACACTCACACTTCCCACAAGTACAAACTGGTAACTCCACATAGTTTCTATACTCTTCCCATAGTGTTACTAACTCTGTATAGTATGAACTCACATCTAGGGAACCTTGTTGAATTGTACTGAGTCTCTGTTCAATTTCATACACTCTAGGAGCATCATCTTGCTTGAATCTAGAGATTAAATTTTTCCAAATTCCTTCAGCAGTGGTTATAAACAAGAGACTCTATCCAATCTTCTTAGAAACAGAATTCATAAGCCATGTAGCTACCATGTCATTACACCTAGACCATGAGCCAAAATCTCTATGTTCCGGAGAAGGTTTAGTAATCGTACCATCGATAAATCCAAGTTTGTTACGCACGTTAAGCGCCATTCTAACAGATCGTCGCCATGAATGAAAATCGGCGCCTGTTTCAAGACGATCGGAAACAAGAGCAAGTCCGGCGTGATCGGAATTATGCAAATAGTAAGGATTATTGTATTGATCAAGATTCAGAGATTGATTCGATGTTGTCATTATCAGTCGCAAGAAGAAACAATGAAATCAATGAAGAATAGAGAATCGCAGATGTGCGATGATGAAGAAACAAGAAAAGATGATAATCGCAGATGTGCGATGATGATGAATAAAGAAAACGAAGAAGATAACAATCGCAGATGATGCGAGATGATGAATTTTAATCAATCG